GACGTATCCCATTCAGGCCCCCGTCGTATGATGGGGCAATCAATTTGGGCGGCCTAGTGCGATACATCTGCTGAGAAGACCCTTTGTATCCCTAATGTTTCGGCTTTTTTCAGCTTAGGCTTTTTCCCAAAGGTTGACGAATCCCAGAAATTGTGAATCATCGGATCGGTAAGGCGGACCGGCTCGAAGAGTGTATCGAGTTTCGTCCAGCCGTGACGGCGAGGCCCCCACCCAGAAAAAAGACAAGTGCCGTTGTCCAGGATCCGCCAAAATCGGGTCGGCATATCGGGTCGCATCGGAAAGTGCATCGGATCGGGTTGCTTCGGCTCGGAGTCGAACTTGAGTCGGATCGGCTTCGCCAGGAAGCGCAACAGCGCAATGCAAGCATCGAGCCATCGGATCGTCGGAATCTTGGAATCGAGCCGGATTGGGCTGGTCAGAGTCGGTATCGTATCGGAGCGATCGGAACGAAATGGACCTTGGGGAATAGGGAGGTGGGCGGGACCATGTGCTGGCGGGGCGCAACAAGGTGGTGGTGCGAGAAAACGGGGGCGTCTGAAGGTTGGGACCTTCTCGGAAGGACCCTGGGGCTTCTCAGAAGGTTTTTTAAGAGCCAAGACGGCTTCTGATAAGATCCCTGCCTTCTAGAAAGTTTCCCCCGCCTTCTTACAAGGCCACCCCCTCGCGCCACCCCCTTATGAGCGCCGCCAAACTTGGGCGGCGTGACAACACCGGAGCCCGTCAACTATCCGCTTTACCGATCCTGGCCGGGCCCAGGATCAACAAGGCCAGCATCGGTGCAGGTAAACTTAGTTACATGAGGTCCCCCGATTGACTGATCAATGCCGTGCACACCTGGGCAGGCCACAGACGCGGCGATGCATGCAACTATAGCTAAGGGTCGGGGGCTCTTCGTCGTTTTCGGCGTTTGGGGACCGAAAACAAAACTGGGATGAACACCCGGCCAGGGTGAATCCGTGAGATGGCCAGGAACCGATTTCGCAGGGATTTGGGGACTGATTGCCAGAATAACGAAACATTCCGATTCGCGTCCTTTTCCTATCTGTGCATTGTTGCACCCCCAAGGAAGGGAGGAACGATGGGGGGCCGTGTGGGCGACATGGCAAAAGGTCAGAGGGTGCCAATTAACCGAGCACAGGCAATACTAAAGTACCCGCCCCTTTCACCCCCTCTATTTTTTTATCCCCGTCCAACAGGAAGTAATTGTGGAGATAGGCGCGGATTCCGAACTTTCTCATCCGCGGGGGAAGTTGCGAATCGAAGTTGCTATCATCTCATGTTGACTAGCAACAGCATCAAAAACGCTGAGCATGGCCATGGTGGTCTCACCACACCAGAGTCCGCAATCACGAGCGTGTGACAGGGCTGTGGGATTCTCACCAGTTCAATTTGCCCAAGTTGCGAACGTCGAGATCTCTCGAGTCAGCCTTGTGCCGAGCGCCCAAGATCACCATCATCATCATCATCATCATCATCATCGTCATCGTCATCATCATCATAACTTACCTTCCCCGGGAAATTCTTTTTTGTATCCCTGCCAGAGCTCCGAATTTTAATATCCCCGGGGATGATTATCGCCCGCGCTCGGTTATACTCTTACACTGATCCTGCCCATTTGCTTTCCTGCGTGGCAGCTCCTGCGAGAAAGGTAGCGTCGGTACTGTGCACTTTGTGCCGGCCGTATCGCTGTTGCTGTCATGTTTTGTTTCTCGCGGTTGTCGCAGGGACGGCAGAGTCAAAATAGTTGTGGCTGGGTGAGTCAGACATTCTTCGACTATGAGAGGCAACTCTGTGCCCCCCCCCCACACACACGAGACCTGCCTTACAGTCTTCGCATTTTTGTCCGCCTCTGGCGAGAACATGCTCAGGGAGCATCAGAGGAGCCTCAAAGGTCCAACATATTTTTGGCGTGGAGCTTGCCAGAGGGTGACTTGACATGCTGGGAATGGCTTGAGATTCTAGCAGATTATATTCAATACGTCTCACGATTCGTTGGGACGAGTCAAGAAACGCGACATGCAGAATAGGACATGCTAGTGTCTTGAGCTGGTCCCGACCACCTTGTGATAAACCAGTGTGTATGTGGGCATTCTGCTTGTGAGCGGGTGGTCATGACCGGACCTGGAGGTACGCAAGCCTACAACACGGTGATAACGGATCATATCCGTTGTGCTCGTCGTGTTTGTGTCAAAACCTCGCCTTCAGGGGGTACCCAATGCCAATTGTGGTGAGTATACAGAACGTGTAAGGTAGAATTTGTTGATGGTTAGCATGCCGCATGCGCTATCATACTAGGGAGTATGGACGGCATGTGACCGGAGAGGTCAGATGGGTGACGTAAGCAGTAAGAGTGTAATGCCACATGGCGTTGCGACAAACTACGCGATAGAGGAGAGTTTCGGACACAGCAAACACAAAGCAGCAAGCAGCTGCGAACGGCAGTTCGGTTTTCGCGCTTTGGTAGTGTAAGAGGCGTCCAAGACGGCCCAATGCCCTTGGACCCTCTTGAGCCCCCTTGGGGGGTGTTTGTGACCCTTCGGTGGCTCTCTTGGGCCGTCATTGTGCCGTTCTGGGCCGTCATGGGGCTCTCTTTGCGTATTGGACCCTTTTCGGAGGTGTTATTGGATTGTCTCGTGCGCTTATTAGGGTCTTTTTTGGCCATGTTTGGTTGTTCTTGGGCTGTTCTGTCGCTGACTTCGAGCGGTCTGACGACGACTTGGAGTCATGTTGGACCGACAAGAACCAATATGCCAAAGGGTCTAACCTCGTTGGTTGGTCCTGTCGGGTTGGGCGTCTCGTGGCGCCTCTGCTGGCTTCTCTTTGAGGTTGGTCTGCGCTTGTAGGGACCTGTTGCACTGCTTGTTGGGCCTTACTGGGTCCTCTTCGAGGCTTCTTGGGTCGCCACGAGAGTCTCCGCGGGCCAAATTCCCCCAAGAGGTCTCGAAGACGGCCCAAGAGGGCCCACGGAGAGCCCCCAGGTAGCCCTTGAGCCTCCCAGAGCGGATCAGGAAGCCCCAGCTCTGCCCAACAGATCCCAAGATATTGCAACAAGCGCACGAGAGGCCCCCCCGGCAGCGCGAAGGTAGGCGTATGAAGAAGCCGCAGCAAGCGGCAGAAGGCAGCGGCCAGCAGCAGGACGCAGTAGCCACGCAGCCGCAAGCATCAGCAAGCAGTACCCAATGGCAGCAAGCAGCGACAAACGACAGCACGCAATAGCAACAGCAACACACAATTCAAGCAGCAGCGCTTCACGTTGTGCCCGAAACAGTAGGTGTCTCGCAGGATCGTGGCCCTCAGAGTGAAGACCCATCGCATGTGTCAACGAAGCGCGGCCCTGGGAGCGAGCAGCCGTTACGTTGTCACACGTTTTACCTGTGTGTGCGACGCTGTGACCGTGGGGCCAAGGATCCAGCGTTTTTCGCGATGCAGCGAGTCATCGTGAGCGCGGATTAACTGCCGTTTGTGTCCGTTTGATATTGATTTTTTTTTCCAGCGGCATGCGCCACCACGCAAATATGCATCAACATGTTCTACAACGCAGCGTGATTGTGAGCAGCCTGGGATGCCCCACAGCCATTGACCGATCATGTTCCAGGAGTCGCGCAATTTCTAGAAGGAGTTTGTGCAATCGAGATCGGTGATTGGAGGATGGCGAGGTTTGGCGGCGAGTCTGGGGGAAGTCAGATGTATAGTAGGTCGAGCCCAAGATCCCGAATGGGCGTGCCCCCCAAATCGTTAGTGCCTCAACATCCCTCTCGTCACGACGCACACCAAGACTGTGCGCGGAGGGATTGTTTGGCGTCCGGCGCGCGCCCTCGTGCCTCGGACACCACGCGCAGCTGGGATACCGGAGGGCAGCGACGATAGTCTGTATCGTTGCCTTCAGGGCCTCCGCCGCGACCCTGGGGACCCGCGATGCTGCTCCCGAGTGCCTGCGGCGCTGGCCCGAGGGACTTGCGTCGTGGGCTCGAGAATGCATGTCGTTGGGCTCGGGGCCCTGTGCCCATGCCTGGTCGGGCTCACGGGCGCCCTTCCCGGCGTGGCCGGCCGTCGGTCCATCTCTGGAGGTCCTGAGCCCAAAGACGCGGGCTCCACGGTGCCCACTAATTGTTTCGCCGTGCCCAAAAATAGTTTCCAAAGTAGTGCCCAAAACCGTTTTCGGAGTTGAGTTGTGCCCAAAATTGGTTCGGATGCCAGGACTTTCCGCGCCGTTTGCCTGTCTACATTTGGGGGGCACGTCTTTGGGCACCGAGCTTCTTTTCTTGGGCACAACATGGTCTTTGAAGGGGGGCACATTCTGGGGTACGCCGCCGCCCAATTCTGGCATCCATCCCGGGCACCGCACGGGCTCCGTTCTGGGAACGCGGGGGCTGTCCAGGCATCCGAACGTTGGGCTGCAAAGGTCCCGTGTCAGTGCAGCGCTGCGGCGCGTTGTGTTGGCGCCGTGTCGCAACGGCTTCGCGACGCAAAGTTGGATCCCAAAGGGCCTCGAAGGGGGGCCTTGGGGATTGGGCAAGCAAGAATAGAGGGCCAGAAAGGTATCGGGCAAACAAGGGAAGGGGCCACGAGGGTACCCGGCAAACCAGGAATCCAATCGCGAAACACACCGCATGTGAACAACAAGCTGTAAATTGTGGGGCACTGTTTGGGGCACGTCCGTGCGGGGCACCGTAACTGTCTTGGACCAGCCCTAAGGCGATGGAAGTGATAAGGGGCGGGCCTTCTCAGAAAGTTCGGAAGTGCCCCGGCCTTCTGAGAAGTTTCTAAATTCTAAGGCTTCCCTGTATACATAAGCAACTTCTCAGGAGACGCGAGGGCTGCTGAGAAGTCCCGCCGCCTTCTGAGAAGTGCTTCTCCTTCTCGCTTCCCCCGCTTCGCTCGCCGCCGAGCTGGTGGAGCGCAGGCACACCTACACACAGGGTTATACATTCACTGTAATCTGTCGGGGGAAGACCGCCTGCATGGACGGAGGGGGACAGGAGCGTCAGATTTTCAAGTCCGAAGCGCACGTGACCGCCGGAATCAACTTCGACAAGGTAAGCGCCTTCCCGTGCACTTCTGCTGTCATCCCTCTCCTCGAGCGCATCCCAAGTGGAATATCTCATCGAGATGCCTTCGGCAATGCTCTAGGCACCATGGGTGAGACGTCAGCCGGGGGAGCGACGGTGTCGCGAGGTGTGGCGCGCAGCCGGAGCCCCTTGCTGTGCCTCCAGAGACAGGGGGCGAGGCATAGCAGCGCTCCGTGCAGACCTTGCGGGCCCCTCCCGAGCCACGCTTCTGGACTCCGTTTGCCCCGCTCCGTCTCGTTGCCTCGGGGGCGGCCTCTTGTGCCAGGGGCGGATGGGCTCAGGGAGGACGCAGCGACCCCCAGTGGCCCACCGATCGCCGGCGGGGGCATGAGAGCCCACCCCGCCCTGGGAAGGAGCGGATTCGCTGTCGGGGGCCTGTCGATGCTCCCGCCCCCTGAGCCATCCCAGCATCTCCCGCGTCCAGCGTTCCCCCTCATTTCCAGCGCCTCCAGGGGCCCCACGGCGTGCCGAAGATCATGTGGGCGGGCGCGTCTCCTGTGGCGCCCGAGGGTTCTGTGTCTCCCAGGGCCCACTTCGATCCGATCGATCCGATTCGGTATCGATTTCGACCGTCTCGATCCGATGCGATTCCGACCATCCGATGTGGCCCGTTGCCTTGCATGGCGCTGCTGTGCATCTTGGCTCAGCCGATCTGATCCGATTTCGGCTCCGTGCCGATGCAGGCCGATTCGACGCGCATTTCGATTCGATCCGATGTCCCGAATCGATGGTGACTCATCTTGTCTCCCAGGGCTACGAGATCGCCAGACCACGTGCCGCCGGCGGCCAGACTCTTCGCGCCTGCGCGCAGAGAGGACCTCGAGACGAGCCTGTGCTGCTCCTCGTGGGAAGTTTCTGCTGGAGACGTATTTCAAAATTTGCACACTACCCGATGTGTCTGACATCTGACCTGCAGGCGGAGGGTTCACATGAGAGAGACGAGAAAAAGGGGTCGATGGCGCCGATATGCGCGAGTCGGTTTCCTGCGTAAGGTCGCGCGTGAGCGCCCCCGCTTCCACGGCTGCGTGTCGCGCTGGCGGCCCGCGTAAGCCGCGGGGTAAGGTCGCCATGCCGTCTGGCGTAAGACCCGCTTCTTCGGTAGCAGCTCATGCGAGCCTGCGAGCCTTGCGCGTCCTCGCAATGCCGTCTTCTTTGGAGGGTATTCGCCCGCGCGCTAGCGTCTGTCAATCGATGAGAATTTGCCGGCTTGGCGTCGATCAGCGTCGATTTGGCCTCGATGTGCGTTCTGTCAGTGTTCTTCTAGCGTCAGTTAGCGTCGCTCGCACGAGCCAGGAAGACGACACGGGAGGCTCCCATGGGCTGCCGCAGAAAGACGTGTGTCGGCTGGCAGTCGTCGTGGCCGCCGTTGGCAGGGCCGCGCCGCTTGCTGCTCTTAGCGCCGCCGTGGGCACGGGCGCGCGCCGCACGCCCGCCACGCCGCTCCTCTGCCACCCCTCCCCTCCTCGCCGTCTTCTCCGCCTCCGCCGCAGGGCAGCCTTCGCGCTGGTGAGCAGTGTGCACGCCGCAGCCAACCATAGGGGAACAAAAAGGTGACATACACAGAAAAACTCGGAGGTCCACGCGGATTTCTCGGATCGGCGCTGGGGCCCCCAGGCGGCGCCTCCGGCGCCGCCCCTGGCGCGCTCCGCGCGCCAGGGAGGGAGGTCCAGCGCCGATCCGAGAAATCCGCGCAGGCCTCCGAGCTTTTATGTTTATGTCACTCCTTGTTCCCCTAAACCAGCCTGGAACAGAGCCCTGCCCCCAAGACTGGCATCGCCTCATCTCGACGCCGATCTCAAAGTTTCCGGTGTCGCATTCCCGAGATTGGCATCGCCTTTTGGCTGGTCCATCCTGGCAGCCTGGGCCCAGGCTAGGCCTGGCCAGGGGGGCAGCGCATCTGCGCAGGCCCCGTCGCCCCAGCTGGAGCGACGGGCCGCCGTCGTCCTGGCGCCGGCGCGGAGGAGCGCGGCGGGAGCGGCTCCCGACGTGCCCGCGTCCTGAAGAAGTCGGGGCTGGAGGCTTTTCGTCGTCATGGGCCCCAGGGGGCCCGTCCCGGGCCCAAGGACTATCCCGGACTGGCGTCGCAATTTTTCGGGCCGGGCGTTTGCGAGCCGGGCGTTTCCGCCTGGCCCTGGGACCCTCACAGACACATCGATCCAGCTCGAAAAATGAGGCAGGATGATGGGGTCCAGGGCTCCAGGCGTATTTTTGTTTGCGATGTTGCGATGTTTTCGCTATGTCGGATCTCGGGGATCAAACACGACCCAGGATGAAAAACAGGTCCCGGGGCACGGGTCGGGATTTCCAGGGACCCCGTGTTGAGAGAATGAGGGCGCCGCATGTCTGGCCTCCGCCTCTCCCCTCCTCGCAGTCCCCGCTCTCCGCCGCAGGGCAGGGTTCGCGGCGGCAGGACGTGGTGCTGGCAGGCTCGGTTGCGGCACGTCCCCAGAAGGCCTGCTCGGGCTGAGGCGGCCGCCCTTCCCGCCCCCCTCTCTTCGCCGGCCACCAAACCACCCCAACCCAGCCCGAAGGTCCCGAGTTGCTTTACATTTCCAGTAGAAGCACTTATGAAGCCCGTACCTCCCCCCAAACCCGAAATTCGGATCTTCGTTTTGGGTTGGGGTGGTCTGGTAGGCAGTCATCTCTGCGTCCGCCCTTGGCAGTCTCGGGCGAGTCCGTCCTCGCGGCCTCCGTGATCCCTTGCGAGGGCGGACTGGCCCCGCCCCCGCGGTGCCCAGCCGCGGGGTGCAGCCACCTGAGAGAAGCGCGGCCGGCGAGTACGACGACATCCCGGTGGAGACCATCGGCGGCACGGGCAAGGAGCAGCCCATCAGCAGTTTCCAGGAAGCCTGCGAGAAGTACAGCCTTCCCAAGGAGTCGGACAGACGGGGTGGGATGTGTCATTATCAGGGGCAACGATTGGGGGGAACATGCATAGGGGGGGCTTCATCGACTCCCAATCGCCGACTGATCGCTGATAGGGGCCCGATGGCCCCAACCTGCACGGGAACGTGCGGATTCACCATCGGAGGCTTATCGCCGATCTATCGGCGATGTATCGCCGATTCCAGGTTCTTCCATCCCTATCCCTATCCCCCCTATCGTTGCCCCTCACATTAAGCTATCGAGGCGACGCAGCTGAGCCCCTCCTCTTCGATACGTTCACCCCCACGAGGTCTTACTGGATGTGAATCACCCTCTCGAGTTGATCTTGTAAGCGTCCCATCTTTGATAGGTACCTTAGGATATAACCCCTGGGAGGTTAAATTCAGCATCGGCGCTGGGTTATCCGTGGTCGAAAACAGACCTCATCCTTCATAATTCCGCCAGGTCCTCGCTGACGGACTTAGTAGGGTTTCAATCGAGGGGCATAGAGCCTAATCTGGCTAAGTGGCCCCTTCATCGGTCTTAATATTAGCCTTTTAACGATCTTACAAAGACTTCCCAGGAGTCGCTTCCCAAAACTGGGAAGGGGTGAGCCTGGGTCCAGACCTCAAGGTCGGCCCCTCGGACTGGGCGCGTTGTGGCCAGGATTTCGAGACCCGGGCTGGCCGTGTCGACGAGAGGTTGCCTGAAGAAGCCCAGACGTTAGCACAGCAGCACAGCGGCACAGCGTCCCAAATTCAAGATTATCATTCGTAGTAACATTTTGTATGTCAGTTCATTGCATGTCCTTAGTACTATCATTATTGTTATACTTATATTAGTTATTATTATTATTATCATTATTATTACGACTACTACTAATATTATCATCGTTATTCTCGCTTACTTCTCCTCTCTCCTCCAGGCATCCTCCTCATATACCGCTCCTCCTGTCGCCGCTGCTCCTCTCGAGGAGCCTGAGCATGCCAGAATGTATAGTTGCACCTCAGACCTGACTCGTGTTCCTGTCGAGCGCCGCCGCCGCCTGCTCCTGCCTCCCCCTCCTCAGTGCCGTTTCTGTCTCGCTTCCCTCGTCCACGTTCTCTGTCGGCCTTCTCGCCCTCGTTCCATTATCAGTCTCTCTCATCGTCCTGCTTCTCCGCCTTCTCCCTCCTCTCCCTCCATGAGGGTCCTTGTCCATCATGGACGTCCCACCAGAGCAAGGTCAAGGCTCCTTCCCCTCCTCCTCTTCCTCGTGCTGGACGTCAGCCATCCACCTCATCGATCCTGGCCAGGCCCACCATGAGGCCCATGATCGGCTTGGCCGGGAGGACAAGCACGCCGCTCCTGAGGCCCAATGATGGGCCCTTCGGCCATGACCCAGAGAAGAGCAGGCGCTCTCTTGCTCATCTGGGGGGCGGCCGAGGGGGGTGATGACTAGGAGAGTCTTGTTTCCCCCTGGGCCATAACGCGCGTTGTGCCCCCTACCCTCTCCCCCGCCCTCCCCCCCATGATGTAACGCTCCCCCCCTCGGAGCGTCCCTGGCACTGCCGCAGGCAGCGCGTCCGGCACCACAGTCTTGGGGGGGGGGGGGGCGCTACGTTATGCCCCCCCCATAACGCCCGTTGTGGCCGCGACTAAGCAAATGCGCTCGTGCTGTAGGTGCGTGTGTCTGTGTATATGTGTGTGCGTATGTGTGTGTTGGCGGATATCATGGGTTGCCATGATATCTCCCTGGAAGTCATGGCCCCCTCTTTTCCTTTTGATGCGTCCCTGGCTCCCCAACCCTCCGCGTACCTGCCTCGGGCCATCATTTGCGACCCCCATTCTTGGACGCCCCCGATCCTCGTCCTCGTTTGCGCAGGAGTTGAGAGCGTCGATCGAGAAGTGCGGATACAACGTGCCCACGCCCGTACAGAAGTACTCCATACCCGCGGTGTGCTCTGGCACCGATGTGATGGTCGCCCGGCGCTCCAGCAGACCCAGGGGGGCATTTGTGTGGAGTCCGGAGGAGGCGGAGCTGCAGGAGGAGGAGGAGGAGGAGGAGGAGGAGGATCGAGGAACTCAGTTCGAGCTTTCAGGGTCCAGGTGCTGGAAAGGTTCGGGCTCCATCGGGGGGTCTCCAGAGGCTTGTGGTTGCCCCTGGGCACCTTTCGGGATGTCGGAGTCCCGTTTGGGACCTCCGAAGACCTCTGAGGAAGACCAAGGATCGAGGAGGGGGGGGAGAGGAGGAATGCTAGGAGTAGGAGAGGGATGATGATGATGATGATGAGGAGGAGGAGGAGGAGGAGGAGGAGGAGGAGGAGGAGGAGGAGGAGGAGGAGGAGGAGGAGGAGGAGGAGGGAGGAGGAGGAGGAGGAGGAGGAGAGGAGGAGGAGGAGCAGCAGCAGGAGGAGGAGCAGAGGAGGAGGAGGAGGAGGAGGAGGGAGGAGAGGAGGAGGAGGAGGAGGAGGAGGGGGGGGGAGGAGGAGGAGGAGGAGGAGGAGGAGGAGGAGGAGGAGGAGGAGGAGGAGGAGGAGGGAGAGAGGAGGAGGAGGAGGAGGAGGAGGACGAAATTGGCGTGCTCGCGCCATATCTGACATCATACCCATGCCTCCCATCCCTTTCCAAGGAGTTGGGCCCCCCTCAATTCGCAGAGTCGTATGCGGAAGAAGACCTGGATCCCGATCGCGCCACTTTGTTTTGAAACGTGGCAAGGACTGCAGTAGTACGGACAGTGTGGCTGTCAGAGCGTCGTTGTGTGGGACAGAGGATCCATGGACACCTCTACATGTGGCAAGCGTTGCGATTGGATGCACATCGTTGTTGATATAAGAGAATGGTCAGCGCTGCGGCGAGAGCGTGGATCCACTGGACGGGAACTCGATCGGAAATCCTGAAGCGTGGCAGGCGCTTCAGCAGGAGCACCAATTTGGCGCACGCCCGAGTATGGACAGTGGTGCGGCGAGAGCGACGTTCCGATGGATGGAGGTTTTTTCTTTTAACGAAATCGCTGAGCACAGTCAGCGCTGTAACCAGTGCAGAAACTTATGAGGGGCCGAGAACGGTCTGACCCGAGATGACGGACACCACATTAGGGCAATCGTGTGCGTGCGCGTGTGAAAGGAGTATGCGTGGCATACGGTTGCAAATCAAACCAGTAGTTGCCCAGGGAAGAGGAGCAGGCACATTCACATTGAGTAATTGTTGAGGAGGAGGGAACGAGGAGGAGGAGACGAGCCAGGAGGAGGATGAGGGGGAGGAGGAGGAGGAGGAGGAGGAGGAGGAGGAGGAGGATGAGGAGGAGGAGCAGGAGCAGGAGCAGGAGGAGGAGGAGGAGGAGGAGGAGGGGGAGATCGACGGAGGCGAGGGAGGAGGAGCTTGAACAATTTCCGCGGGCTGGTGTGGCGGTGCGCTTTCAGGCGCGTGCGGACGCGCGCCCGTGCGCGCGCGATTTTCGCCTGCTGAAGCAATGTGGGACGCCGCCCAGCTCCTGTGCAGGACTTGGGGAGGCGAAGGAAGGGGTCGGACACCGCCCGTTCACTCCCACATTGTGTGGATGTCTCGAGCGAGGCGCTCGTTCTGCACGTTCGACTCCTGTCCACTCGGAGCCCCATGATTGATCACATCGACGTATGGAAGAGGACGCCCGCCAGTGAGGAGCAGAGAGGACGGAAGAGGACTCAGGAGGAAGCAGGAGGAGGGAGAAGGGAGGAGGGAGGAAGAGAGCGGAGGGGCCACGGCGAGGAGGAAGAGGAAGCAGATATGAGTTTGTCGCCAGGAGGGGGGGGGTGGGGCTTAACCAGGGAGGAGGCGGGAAGACGCAGGAGGAGGGAGGACGAGGATGATAGAAGTGGAGGGCGCAGGAGGAGAGAGGACGGAGGAGGAAGGAGGCGGACCCAGGGGGAGGGAAAAGGGCGGGCGGGGGAAGAGCAGGGAGGGGGTAAGGCGAGGAGGAAGAGGAACGGGAGGGGAGGGACTTGTTCTTCGCATATTTGTGAGGTGTTGTCGATGTCGCCGCTGTCCCTCATCGTAGCCGCCGTCGTCGCCATCGTGGTTGTGCCCGTCGTCCATCTAGGCTCGCACTCGCACTCAGACATTCACAGCCAGGCAGTCACAGCGGGACCTGTCAGACAATGAGATGTTCATGTGAGGATCTGTGCGTCGAGTATTTCTTCACGCTTCGCGCAACCCCACCAGTCCTACCGGAAGCCCTAACCACGAGAGTTGGCAGGAAAAGGGACGAAGAGACGCATGTAGTGAAACAGAGCGGGCAACCAGGGTGAACAGAGAGATCTCTGGGAGCAGGGGGGTGGCCTTGGAGGCCCTCTTCGGGCCATCTCTGGGGCCCGCGCGGGTGCGAGGAAAAGAAGAGGAGGAGGAGGAAGACGACGACGACGATGAAGAAGAGGAGCATCAGGACAAGGCAAACGATGAGGGCAAGGACGAGGACGTAGACGAGGAGGAGGAGGAGGAGGACAACGAGGACGAACACAGAACCATCCCTCAACATCGCCTCTTGGATCCCTATTGGGACTCTTTTGGATGGTCTTCGGATTCTCTTGGGGGGTCATGGGACTATCTTGGTGCTCTGTTGGAGGCCCTGGAGGACTCCTTGGGGTCATCAATATGTTCCCAAGAACATCTTTGGGGCCCTGGAGGACCTCATGGTGCCATCTTGCAGAAAGGGGGGGGCGGTCCCAAATGTTCCTCCCCCCGGGGCTATCAAAATCGCCTCTTGGGCCACTCTTGGGCGCTCGTGGGGCCGTCTGGGGGGCCCCTAAGGGCCTTCGGGGGCCTCTCTTGCGCCATCTTGGGGCCATCGGCGGCCTCAAAGCGCATCAGAAGCGAAAAGGCGAGTAAGCAAACATCATTTATGTTCTCAAGGTTTTGAAGGATCTGGGCTTCTTGGATAGGAGGTCCTGAGGGGGCTGCACTTGGAACCATCTTGTGGCCCTCGTCGGGCCTCCTGGAGATATGTCGGAAACTGTCTTGAACCATCGTCGTCTATCTTAAGCCATTTTGGAGGCCGCCGTCTTGGAACATCGGAGGCCCTCTTGAAGCCATCTTGGGCGAAAAGGGACCCTCAAACCCATCGCGGCCCGCCCCAAGAAACCTCAGGGAGGGGAGGGGGAGGGTACCCCTCCCCGAAGGGAAGCGGGTTTTGGAAGAGGGCAGGAACCTATGGCAAGACCGCCCTAGCCCAAAGGGCTGGTGGGATGATTGTCCCAGGGCCTCCTCTTACTCCTCCTCCTCCTCCTCCTCCTCCTCCTCCTCCTCCTCCTCCTCCTCAGGGAGGGCCCTGAAAGGCCAGGGCCCGTCCGGTTCATGCCGGCTCGTCCCGCTCCTCCCCCTGCCGCCAGAGCGGGGAGGTCACTGCGCAGACAGGAAGCGGCAAGACTGCGGCGTTCCTGATCCCCATCATCACCACCGCGCTGAACAACGACCCTGTGCCTCCTGCGGAGCGCAGCGGGGGTGGGGGAAGCGAATAACAGTAGCGCGGGCGTTTTTGTTCGTCGATTTCGGCGTAGGTGCAGTCGGGTATCTATCCAGGACAAGAACCAGCAGAGCGAGAAGTCATAATAATGTTCGACACTTTTTTTTCTGGCGAACCCGTAACGTTTGTCACTGGAGGCTTCCCCTTTCCGCCCCCCTGCTATCATGGTAACGAACGTGGGGGGGGTGTTCTTCCACAGGTCTGTTGCGATGTTCACGGGCATGTTTATTGTGCTGACAGGCAGACACGATGTGGTGTTCACAGGCATGTGTGGGGCTCGCTGGATATGGCGGTTCTCACAGGCCCAGGAGGAGTTGGGGATGATGATGGTGGCGACGGGGAGAAAGAGGAGGACCAATACTATTTGTGGTGCTCACAGCTACTCAACGACTGAAGCCTTGTGTTCGCAGCTTGGTGCCCTCCTCACGGGTGGCGGTGGGAATCGCGCCCCGTCGCCGGTCGCCTCCGCGGCCGTTGCCGCCGCCTCTGTCGTCGTTTTCGTCGTGTTTCCTCGTTGTTTGTCCTCGTCGTCTCCAGCGTGGAATGGGATTGGCATGGGCGAGAGGTGCAAACAGATGTGGCCGCGTGTCTTCCCAGCGCTGTTGTCGATGTATGTTCATTGTGCGGACCATCTGTGATTGTTAGTTATGGCTGTGTTTGGTGTATGAGAATGGTGTATGTTATCGCTGTGTAGTGCTGATGTGTGTGATGGGCGCATGTTACTCATGCATGGCAATGGCCAGTTACGCCTGTTGCTGGCTGCATGCTAGTGGACCCCGTAATTTTTGTTGTGGTATGGGCGATCTTCTTGATGTGCGCGTGTGTGATTGATGTATGCCATGGATTTATGTTATCCATGTGCGACCCCGATGTTGGTTGTGGATGCACGTTTGTAGCGACCAGGACAAACCCCAAAAAGATATCAACCTGGGCTTACTTTGCGATGCCATAAATACGGTTTGCCTGTCGGGGGCTATGTACGGCGGCGCGTTTCCAGACTGGTGCGAAGAGGTGTATGTTTAGATGTCGAGGGAATCACGCACGATACTGCCTCAGGCACTATTCCGTGTGCCCGCAGCTTCGCGAGCTGTTTGATCGATGGTTGCGTAATGAAATGCCCACTCATGGGCATGATTGTTTTTCTCCCCTCCTTTTTTCTGTCACTTCGCCTCAGTCAGGAAGCCGACGTTCGATTTGCTTCAGTCCGTGATGCATTGTATTTTGCGCACAATGCCTGGACGCGTGGTGCCACTACTGCTCCGAAGCTGCTGTTTAAAGGCAGGTTGAGAGTGCACAGCCGCCTGCATCCTGCTGCGCAGGCCGCGTGGAACCAGATGCCAGAGGTCGGGAAGGCTGGTGGCGGAAGTGGCAGCGGATGAAACAGACCGCCAGCGCCACCCAGCCCTGCCCCAGAGCCAAGGTTTATCTGTTGTAAAGTTGTTTGTTGTGACACCGCAGGGGAATGTGGTGACCGCCTCGGCCTCTAGAGTGGCCCCACGGGAAAAGTATGAACCTGGGTTTATAACGTTCCGGGGTTACCGACCAAGGTTCATAATGTCCCCCCCAGGAACATTACGAATTTGGGTTTTAATTTCTGGACATATTGGCTGGGGTTCATAATGTCCCCCGGTGAATCTTATAAACCTTGGCCTATAATGTTCCGGGCATGTCGACCCACAGAGATATCAATTTGGGTTTATAGTGTTCTGGGTATATTGATTGGGGTTAGTAACGTATCGGGAATAATGAACTCCAATTTTTAATTCTGGAATGATAATAGTGGAGGCTGAGGGGTGTCGCCTGAGCCATAGGCGGATATTCGGAAACCAGATTCATGATTCCGGAATGATTCTGATTATTTTTTGTCCCCAGCCCCGCGCCTCCAAACTGGGATTCATTATGTTAGAATCTTGACCCTGGCTAGTTATTTCTGAAACATAAACTGGGGCTCGTCATGTTTTGGGAATAGTGAACTAAAGCACGTTATTCTGAAATGATAATGATCCGGCGGAAGGGGGGCCGTCTGACAAGGAGATTGGACCGGGATCAACCTTGGTTTATTTTGTCGGAATACCGACCCCAGATGCATTATTCCGGAATGAAAATGATCCGGGGAAGGAGGAGGCCACCGATCCATCCACAGACCAATGATCCAATGAGAGTCTGAAGATAACGAACCTAGGTTTATCATTCTCCGATAAGAAACCAAAGGGGGCGAGGATTTCGAGGCTACTCTCCAGGACGACAGCTCTTTATGTATGGTCTACATGTCTGTGGGAGTCGTGTTACCTGGACGGCGTGACGCCGTGACTCCTCCCTGGTAGGGTTATCTGGTAGCTACGCCTGCTTAGAAACCTTGCTCGTGAGATCGTCATTGGATTCTCGCGAATCTCTGGGAGCTGGCGGCCGCGGCATGCAACGCGGGCGAGGCGGGGAGAGCACCCAGACTATGGGGGCCCCGCGGC